GAACCCTAAACTCCGAAACCCTAAGCTTTCATGGGTTTTCCCTGTCCCGAAGGTGGGTGGCGTTTGGGTGGACACGAGGTGCGCTTAATGTGTCTAACCTGGGCGTGGGGGGGGGGGGGGGGGNNGCTGGTCTAGGGTTCAGGGTTTAGGGCTTCTAGGGTTCAGGGTTTAGGGTTTAGGGTAGTGGTAGTATTCCCTATAGATCTACCTAGATCTACCCAGAAACACCAGAAGCACAGGACAAAGGCAGCATTCTAAGAATGCGTACGGTTGTGGGACTTTTGGTTTTGTGGGTTCGACTTCCGCAAAAACTTATGTAATCTCTTGCAGTGCAGACTGCACCCTAAGGCTCATGGACCCCCATAGTGAAAGCCCAAACCTTAGCCCCCAAAGCCCAAAGCTTCCCCTAAAAAGCCCATAACAGCTATAAGAGCCTCAGGGCAGGACGCAAGCATCGGGACTAGGGCCTTGAGGGTCTAGGGTTTTGGGATTCTGCGGGCTTAGGGGCTGGCGTTCCGCCAAGTTTCTCGCTTAAGGCAAAGAAATACAACCAGGCCGTGATTGGTCAGTTGGTGCCGCTGCTGGCACGCGAAATAGACCTTAAAACTCCAAAACCGCCAGCCCGACTTAATTCCACAGGGGAATTACCCAACGTTTGGGCTGCCTACGATAGCATAAAATATCCTCAATCCCTGCTGCGGGAGATTGCTTCCATAGGTCGGACTCGAAAGCCCTAAACCCTAAACCCTAGAAGCCTCAAGCCTAAACCCTAGAAGCCTAAGCCCTAAACCCTAGAAGCCTAAACCCTAAACCATAACCCCTAAGCATAGCTCCTGAACCCTTCAAGATTGAAGGTCCTAGATCTTTACAGGGTTTAGGGTTTAGGGGTTTAGGGTTTAGGGTTTAGGGGTTTAGGGTTTAGGGGTTTAGGGTTTAGGGTTTAGGGGTTTAGGGTTTAGGGTTTATTCACCCTTACAGCCCAAACCCTGTAAACCCCTCTTTGTGCCATCGAGTTCTTCAGCTCTCTGTAGCAAGAAACCAGAATAAAGCCATAGCCGCCCAACACACCGAAACCGTCAGCAACCCCAACATATCCGTCCTAAGGATTTTCAAGGATCACCAGCCATATCAAGCCTTGAAAACCCTCATAAGACTATATTGAATAAATCCCTTGTAACACACTAACCTAAACCCCAAACCCTAAGCCCGAAACCCTAAACTCAAAGCCCTAACCCCCTAAACCCTAAACCCTAAACCCCAAACCCTAAACCCCAAACCCGAAATCCTAAACCCTAAACCCCAAGCCTTAAACCCCCGAAGGCAGCTCTGCGACTCTCTGCGCGAGGTCGAAGGAACGGACGCTTAGGGCTAGGAGTGTAGGGTTTTAGGGTTTAGGGTTGAGGGGTTTACGGTTTAGGGTTTAGGGTGGAGGGGTTTAGGGTGGAGGGGTTTGGGGTGGAGGGGTTTAGGGTTGAGGGGTTTAGGGTTTAGGGGTTTAGGGGTTTAGCGCTAGGGGTTTAGGGTTTAGGGTTGAGGGGTTTAGGGTTTAGGGTTTAGGGGTTTAGGGATTTAGGGTTTAGGGGTTTAGGGCTTAGGGCCTAGGGTTTAGGATTTAGGGGTTTTAGGGTCTAGGGTTGAGTTTAGTGTTGAGTTTAGGGTTTAGGGGTTTAGGGATCTAGTGTTGAGGGTTTAGAAGTTTAGGGTTTAGGGTTGAGTTTAGGGTTTAGGGTTTGGTTTTTTGGGTTTAGGGGTTCAGGGTTTAGGGTTTAGGCTTATAACTGGGAGTTTCCAGAAGATTGGGGAAGGGATTCAGGGTTTAGGTTTTCAGGGTTTAGGGTTTAAGTTTAAGGCTCAGGGGTCTACAGGGTTTACAGAAGTTCAGGGTTTCGGGTTGAGGGGCTTTGGGGTTTTTGGGTTTAGGGTTTAGGGTTTAGGGTTTAGGGTTTAGGGTTTAGGGTTTAGGGTTTAGGGTTTGGGTTCCTCTAAGGCTTGAGGATCTCGGGTTGCGTGTTGGCTTCAGGGCGTAGGATCTGGCAGAGTTGCCCCAGCAGTCCAAACGATTGATTTTGGGGGTTTAGGTTTTAGGGTTTAGGCTTTTGGGGTTTAGGGTTTAGGGTTTTAGGTTTTTCGGGTTTAGGGTTTAGGGCTGTAGGAACAAGGTCCAAGGGCTGTAAAGAACTGTATAAAATCCCGAGGTTCCCTTAGTATCCCTCACGTTCCCAAAGCTTTTAGGACTTCGTGGCTTATAAACCCTAAGCCCTAAACCCTAAACGCGAAACC